GGCGGGAGCGCCGCCGCGCTCCCAAGCGGCGCACTGTAGCAGTGCGCCACTGGGCCGGCCCCTAGTGAATGTTTTTAAGAGCAGAATTATTGTGTTTTGAGCTGCTATTGCATGTTACTTGCCAGGCATTTTCCTTTTTTTATTGGATGTGGTGTTAACTTGGATGTTTTGTCTTTTGAAGCACGTTATTTCTCAAGATTGTGGTAAAATGGACGCTACATTTTGTGTTCTATACTTTTAGAATATGTCCATTTGCCTAAAATAAGTAACAATGTATGCAGTGAGTGAGTTGTGTAATCTAAGTACTTAGTTTCATTAGTTTTATTGTCTGTACTTCCCGGCATGAAGGCTATCAGGTAAATTTGTGTATGTGCATATTGCTTTGGAAGAAAAAAAGTTTTAGGACTGTTCCAAGATATCCCAAGAGCATGTAAAGAAATGCGATTGGTAGATTTGAATCCTGTCACACTGTCAGAGCTGTAAGATGACTATATTGTATTGGTAATTTAGAGTAATTTGATTAACTTTTGTAGTGTAGAATGTTGGCTTAAGTACTAAAATACTAAATTCCTAGTATGCAAAATAGTTTATTCATCTGTTTATCTGTTAAGTACTTTGTAGGCAATTTAACTGTTGGTGATGCAAAGACATTGGTTGATATTACTAAAGTCATAGATTTTTAAAAGTTTATTCATTGGAGATTAAGTGGGTTTTTTTATGGAGAAAAATTTTAAATGGGCCTAAGTACTCACATGACAAATATTACTACTGTAGGGATGACAGGCTTTTGATATAAGATTGAAATATCTAGTTTTGCTTAAGCTAGAGGCATTTGGCTGAATAAAGCTTTTGTTTTTATTTTTTAAGTTCAGGGTTATTTTAGCCTATAGATTTTATTAAATACTTTGCCAGTACATTGAGATGGTTTGTATAGAAAATCTGTTTTGAATAGGCATTTGGTAAAATTCAGACAGCACATTGAAATTAAACATTTGCTAATTTTAAAACGTTAAATTATACTTGAAGCAGAATGGTCTTGCATTTCAGTCTTTGTCTTGTGTGAGACTTCTGAGAATATTTACATGGAATTTTGAAATTTGGAACTTCTGATGACTTCAGAAAGCAAAAACCATGGCATTATCTTGGGAGAGTTAGTGATCTATGTCCTACTAAGGATTATGGCAGTTGAGATCAGTAGCTGAGATGCCATAAAGAACTACAGATTGACTTAAAACAGAATTTGTTACTGGTTTGGCAACATTTATTCTCACCAGTGTCAACCAAGTATCTCTTCAGTATACATGTAATTCCTGATTGCTACAAGTGAGGTACAGAGTGCAGGGAGATTTAAAGGAGGGTGAGATCATACTCTGGGGGTTGGCGTGGGCGTATGCTTGTGGACCTGGAGGACTGATGGAGTGAGGAAGGGAGGGAGCAGGGTGAACTCGGGCACTGATAGTAAAGTGTGGGTAGTTGCAAGTAACCCTGTTTATTACGAGCCCTGCATATGTGAATAGGAAACTGTAAAGCTCCGTTGTATGCCATGTTAGGCCGTACTTAGAGAACTAGGCTGAACACCAGAGGGATATGGTGTATTCCCTTCAGCACCATGCACAAGCATGAGAACAAAACCACATCAAATTGGAGAGATAGTTAAGACGCTGGTGTGGCCCTTTCCCCAAAATG